TGGTGTGTTTATTCGTTACCGGAAAAGATAAGTTTTACTTGTATTCCTCAGTGTATCCTAACCTTTGTGCATCTAGTGTTTGTGCAAACCATGCCAATATGTGACCAACAGGTGATGTCATATTGTTTTGATGACAAATGAAATTTGTAACTGTGCTTGATACAAAGAAAAACTAAAAACCCTCCCAAATATTGAGTTCTATTTAGGAGTTTACACTAATTTTGGAAATGCTGATAATAAAATGTATATGACAAGTGAAATCTCGCATAAGTAAGCATTGTGCTAAATTACAATAACGTGATGAAAACAAGCACCTGCACCTCCCCTCCCACTGTTATTGTCAAATGTCAGTTTCTGTACACAACTGTAATGAACCGACTTTTCATCTTTGTTTGTGTGTATATATACATGTATATTAATACATGTTAAGCTTTTATTTTAATTTATTATGAGTTCAATATATATATATATCTGTGTGGGTGTGTGAAATTCTCCATTTTCAGTACTTTTGTCTACGAATTGTGAATGCAATAATGGAATATATATATATTAATACAGTGTATATACTATAATTAATTAAGTCACCAGAATATAGCATACGTTTCTTGCTGAGTCACCTGCGACCTCAATAAATACCTACTCGGTTCATCTGCAGCGTTTCTCTGGTGATTTGATCATATATCTCAGTCTGGTGTACGCCAAGGATAATGGTCCATATATCTACACACACATGATGTCATTAGCATCGTGTCTTGGTGTCGCACACTTTTGATCCTTTATACACGTACACACACACTGATACGTAATAGTATGTACTTGTAATCATGACAAGCTGGGAGGGTGAAGCTATAGATATTGTTAAGTTCAGAAACAAAGGTTTATTATAGCTTAATTTGAGAACTCGCAAATGCCCAAATATACACGTGTCCTGCGGTAAAATGATTAATCAGATGTGACTGGAGAAAGCCAGTACACAAAGAATTGACTCATTTCTTGTTCCATATTTGCCTCTGTATATCTATCGATCTGTCTCTGTTTATCAGTATATGTAAATGTCTATATTTCAGCTAGGCTACGGTACCATCAGTGTTTTTATCTGTTTGTCTGTTTTAGTTTATCTTTACGCCACTCTTTCTTTCTCTACATATGTCTGTATCGAGCTATTTGTAACCGTGATTTTATATATCGTTTCTTAGCCTAAACCATTTTCACCTCAAAATGACATTCGTTTATTCTCTTGGGATCCACGGCACCACTTGTTTAGTGTTTTACTTATATGTTTACTCACCCCTTAGGACGTTCGAAAATGTGTTCTGTTTTCTGCCTATTCAAATACTTTTATGTTCAGCTGGTAAAGTAAAATAAGTTTAGTATACACTCCGGCTACAGTTCTTCTTCTGGTGTCAAAATATAGCTTTATCTGCTTGCAGAAACTGCCATTCATTCTTGAAGTAATGAAAGGGTATTGGTTTAACCTGTAACGTTCAATTATTTTGTCTTCGTGGCTTAATGCCTCCCGTTAGCTCAGCAGTAAACTTGAAGGCTAAAAATCTGGATTCGATCCTTATGTCGGATATAGTCCACTGTGTAGCATCGCGCTTAAACGAACAATCATTGTTTAAAACGAATTAGATACTTTTTCATTTTAAATAACTGTTTTTATATTTTAACTGCTAAGAACAACACAAAAAAAATATTTCTTTAGTAACTATTAATTGAACGGAGATCATAGAACACTTTGAGTTGTTTTTGTTTCTGTTTAGCGCACAGTTAATACATATGTTGAGGTATTTTCATGATATTAGAAAAACACGTAGGTTCAAGAAGTCTTGATAGAAATGAATAAAAACCCTATAACCCTATATGTTGAGGTGTAATATTTAACCTTAACAAATCTAGCCCAGGGAAGTGGGTAAAAGAAAGTTCTTAAACATTATCTCTCAATATAATGTAACGAAAAATGTATTTGTTTGTTTGTTCAATAGTTCAAAGCTACCCAGTGAACTATTCCAGTGCTGTCTACTGCAGGGAATTGAACTCCGGATTTTACTTATAAATCTGTGAACTTACCGCTGACCCACCAGCATACAGTATAATGGAGAAAACGTGAAGAAATGTCATTATCAGAAAATGTCTTCTTTCTTTCAGTGGAATTAGATTTCCGACATCTGTTGATCTCCAGGTTCATTTGTCTGTTTGAAAAAGTACGTGAATCATTTCTGACGAATATCTGTCAAAACATTATGCGTAGTGTTATCATGTTTGATAGCGAAGACTAACTCCATTAAATAAGCAGTTTCGTCACGTGATTTATCTTTAAACATATCTTGAAACTCATATGAAATCACTAAAGTTCTTTTTAACCATAACTATTTCACTTCCACGATTACAAATAAACAGTTCTTCCAGTAGCAGATTTATTTTTAAATACATAATAAAAATGAATAAAAAAAGACACGTGTTTTCATATTTCATTAATTATAGGAAAGTTGAAACTAGTAAGTTTGAGGAAGTTTGAGAGTACAAAATTCCAAACTCTTATGGCAGTGCACTACATGAGGTATTTATGTACCCAAGACAGTGAAAGAGTTAAATGATGCATATCATCTTTTAAGGGTGATTTTTCATTTAAATGAAAAATTTTATAGTGCGGTGTTAACTTTCTTTCTAACACACAAATTAAGTTAATTTGTGTGTTCAAGGAAGATCTTTCAGAGAAAAAAAACACATTAAAATATAAGTAAGAAACGTTAACACGTATATAATTCAAACACGTATGATTATTCATTTCAGTTTATTATATTAAATGTGGTGTTATTGGCAAACGTTTCAGCTTATAAAATATATATGATGAAAAATAGAGACGCTTTATTTTACTCTTCATGTATTTTTTAAGATAACTTCACATCACAGTATATGAAATGATTGAAGAAATCTAAACTTTACTTTAAATTACTGTATATGGTATTGTGTACTAATAGAACAAATACAACATTTAGTTTAGATTACACGGTATTGTGTATTTACCTACTAATAGAACAAATACAACCTTTATTTTAGATTACGCGGTATTGTGTATTTACCTACTATTAGAACAAATTCAACCTTTA